TTCGTCCTTTAAACTTCGATTTCTGGAGCCTTTCCTCACTCACTAAATAAAATCCCATGCTCCCTCTAGCTTTTAAAGTTCTTTTCAAGGTCATCCTTCGTGTGAAGTGGGTGGAGTGTGCTAGCAAATTCACAAGGAGCAGTAGCCTAGCTTAAACGATTCGGGAGTTCTGACAGCAAAAGCCCAACCTCCTCTATGTCGACACTTCTGAGATATTGTGGAGCACGAAGGGACCTTGCGCTGGGAACCGCCGCCCAGTAATACTAGGGTCACTGAAGAAGGCAAACGTCGACAGCATAATGGCGACGCGTTCAATCTGAAAGTAAAGCAAGACAAAGTCTGCTTTTTTCTGAGGTCATTCGACCCCACCTTGCGGAAAATATTCATAAAAAATTGGAGACCTTTGGGCTAGCAGTTCTTCCAGCTCCACCGTGTAGCCCTACCCTCGTACCAGCGAAAGATAACCTAGTCTGACTTATACCACTCTTCTTCAGGAAGAAATTTTACGCTAAGTGACATGACCTCAAACCCGACTTCCGATCTTTCTTTGATCAATAGCTCCTGGAATTCTAGAGAAAAACCCATGTATAGGCAATAGTTTGTAGATAACAAAGGTGTATGTTTAGATGAGCAAGCACTTCATATGAAAAAGAAAAAATATTGAAAATGCCCAAAGTGATTCACTAATCACGGGACATCCTAATACTTGGAGCGTTCCCTGTAGATAGATATTCTTAACACATTCATACTGGCGGAAGCTCATATGGCCTGTCAAGGAAGTGTGCTCATTGGACGATGGCAGCCCATATAAGCTGCCAGCTGATAATCGCTTGCCAGTCACTTATATCGTTATTTTTGGTATTTGATAATAACGTATGGAATAGGGACTAATACGTAACAATTAACAACGGAATTCGCCGCAAGGTTGCATATGCTTTATTTTGGGGAAGTTTTTTGAGCCATGTGGAAATTCCGGTTTGACTACCTTTCTTTTTTCTTGAAAGAAACGAGTGCTAGAAGCAGACAAGGCGCTGTCAATGAAGAAATGAGTCCTTTAACTGAAAAAAATCGTGTCAAAAATGTTTTCAACTTCCTTCACGGGGAAGAAGAATAAATGCTCTCTTTTCGTAACCACTATTTGTCGTTCTGATCGAAATCCTACTGTTATATGTTTAGATAATCTTTACGCATTGGACATTGCAGAAATTATTTTGTGACATTCATGTTTTTGTTCATTTACAAAACAAAATCTGCGGATGTGAGGTGAGGCGGCGGCGCCCACAAAATCGCGTCCGTCCCACGCGACCGAAAAAGAAAAGGGGCGCGTCGTGAATGTGTTCAAAGCAGGCGCTAAACTTTGTGAACAATTGCTAGCCAATGGCGAATATGTTGGCGAACGGTTGCAAAAATCAATGCAATCGAAAACCTAAAAGTTCTACTGTTTCATCAACTCGCTCACGTGCCTCACATATGTAATTCTCTTGACCGACGTATCAATAGCTGTCTTTCAGGTCCATCGCAGGATTATTCGTATTTTCTGTGGTAGCTCTTGGCGCGACGCCAAAAGCGTTCAATGCTTTGAGCTGCATAAAAATGGTGCTTCGAACCTAAAGCAAAATACGATAACCAAGTGTCTGGTAATGTGGCTGCTGAGCAGCATTTTCAACAGCTCCATTCTGCTTGGACATAAGATTCTGTTTCATTGATCCAATGAATTTATAAGATTTAGCTCATTCTGTAGCATTTTTGGGGGAATGGGCTGATATTGAGAAGTTTTTCTGCCTACGGTGAAACTGCACTGGAATTAAAGGCAGTGCTCAGGGTGACTGAAAGTGAAGCGGAACCTGGTACACCAATGGAGTCGTAAGACACCCTTCCACCAATCATGTTCAGTGACGCCGACAAAAGCCAATGCGCGCGTCTGACGACGCCATTGGTGGATTACACGCCCCAGCGCGCTCGGTGAGGGGACGTGGTTGAAAACACCTTCCAACGCTCTATCATCAATCACTCTCGATCACGTCAGTAAAATCGCTTCGAAGTCAGCCATTCTGTTCACTGCCTTCGAGTTTACTCCATAAACGCACAAGAAATCCATAGTGAATGACGATCAGGACGCCATCCATTCGGAATAAAAATTTGTACACTAATGTATCATACATTCTACGCAGTAATTCAGACTTCTGGGTTTAAAATCTAATTTCCCAAAGCTGAACGATATCCTGAATGGAACACGAAGTTTTTTTTCAAGTTTTATTTTCCTACGCTATGCCACTGGTGAAGCCTTATAAAGCGAATGAGGAGGGACAATTTTCTGGCACAGCAATACAGTTGGTATAAGCCCTCAAACGAATGGCACGCGTTCATGGGACCGGCTTTTGATTAGGTACACTTATTTATCCGACTGAGTTGAAAACGTAATCAGTCGCTCTTATCACTATTATTATTAGCATGCCAGTCCTGAATATTGCGAAATACCGACCGATTGGGGAAGTAAGCAAACCAGCCCTTTTGGCGGAGCTGCTGGACCTAGCTGCACCACTTGCGTCATCACTCTCCTACCGTACCGACCGAGTTGAAGTAGTCCGTCGACCTCGGGGACCCCATCCCCTCCCCAACATTCAGCATACGGTCCCAGCAGAAACGCCAAAAGGGCTGGTTTGCTTACCTCCCGATTGGGTTGTTTGGCTTCGGTAACAAGCATTTCTCGTACATTTGCCCTAACGATATCACGCTCACGATTACGTCGTCGGTCTATCAAACTGTCGGAATCGGCCTTCAGTACTCGAAACGAACAGCAAAGAAACTTGTACTCTGTTTCAAGAAACGAGAAGCGCGTCGAGTGCAGACCACACACCACAAGTGACGACGGCCTCCACAAAATGTAAATGTTTTCTGCCAATGAAATGATTAGCCTGTTGCAGTTGTATTCTATTGTTACTAATTACAAAAACCATTCATCAACTATCAGCTATCACTAGTTATCCGATTTTTGAGGCCGCGTCAATAGTGGTGTGTGGTCTGCAATCGACGCTCTTCTGGAATTTTTGAAATTGAGAGTGATCTGCTTTTCAAAGCTCCACTGTCGTTAAGAAAACCACAAACAGACATTGGGATCCCTATGACCCTTTGAAAGAATATTACATCTTGTCGAGACGGTTCCTTACATGTAAGCAAAAATTTCAAGTTTTGTTACTCCATGAAATAAAAAAGGTGATTCTGCTCGATGCCCCACGCATTCGGACTCCAGACTCAGACTTTTGTAAGAGAATCAGGCCTAGACACAAACGTGTCAAGTCAGTGAAGTGTGTGACGTTATGACTAAAACTGATGTCAAGCAGAAGGATCGAAAGCTTTTGTGAAAACGCCCGGGTCGGACCGTGGGACCATATGCGCTGCGGCGGCTGCCCCTTGCTACTGCCTCGATTCTGCCAGTACTACTTGAGAGGAAGAAATGCCATGCGGCGTATAATTAACACATAATGCCAACATGAATCGAATTACTTTGAATGGTAGTTGGTAGGAAGTAACTTCAATTATTGCGGCTTGCTCCGCTTATAACATTACGCCTACTGTGAGTCATCACACACAAAATCCTTGACACCTTGCAGGTTTTTGAAGCACTCTCAGACACCTTCATATTCAGTTGATTGAGAAGAATTTGAAATCGATACTCACTATTTCTCAGAATTTCTTCTCATGATAAGGTCATATAAAGCAGATGCTACCTTTCTACGTTATCCATAACGTACCACCAATGGTGCTGGACATGCCTATGAAAGCGTTTTTTCCCAATTCTGTGCTCAATTATTCGTCATTTTGAATTTACCCGCCTAAATCTCTATACGGGCGCAAGCGGTGTAGTGGCAAGTGGCGCCGCTTACCACGCGCGCGGTCCGGAGATCAAATCCTGGGTCGTGAGTCGTCCGGGCCAACCAAGCCTTCCATCCCTCCGGGGTCGGTCAATTGGTACCAGACTTGTCTGGGAGGACAAAAATCGCTGACTTCTCCATGGGCTGATCCCCATGGAGATTAACGACGGGATTGATTAACGACAAATGCTTTATCTTGATTTTTTAAAACTCAGTGTTCCGTGTATGTGCTTTACGGAAGCATATATGAAAAATTGTTCGCGACAGGCGCAAAATTAAGAAGAAAATTAAGAATTGGCTCACTGGATTCCAACATCCATAGCATTCGCGTAATCTGCAGGAACAGAAAACCCAGCACGACAGGCTCTAAACGCTAACACAATTGGTATGTGGTTTGACTGACGCGTCGCTCCTTTGGCCGACTATTGCTCATTACTCAGCTCTAAAATAAGGTGTTACACGAGGTGTATCGCGATTGGCGGTTAATTCCGTACGGTGCAGTGAAGAAAAGTTGTTATGTCAAGCGGTTACAACTGAGGCTGCTACAAATTACAGTATTGTGTTTCGTCCGAAACTGCACTTATCACACATGTACGGTACGCTAGGCGTGTAGCGACTATGCACGTGTAGAAATGTACAATAGATTCTGCTCGCCTTATCCTCTGAGTAGAGTGCCACGCGGTCCAAGTTCAGATCTACGAGTCACCACAAATTTGTTGTAGGAATCTTCCACACGAACGTTTGGAAGTTTTATTCTGATATGGCAAATATACAATATTCAAAAGCAGCACCAACCAAGAGCTA